GAAAGCAGGAAACCGAGTTCTGCTGTTTTATTACAGCGGTGTCGATGAAGCCTCTTTGCGTGCGGGCGTACCGATGACTGCCTGTAGGGGTCCTGCCTCTGTGCCTTGCAGTGCTTTCTGTAGGTCTGTACCTAATTGTACACGTGCTTCTGCTTCTTTATATTGTTTGATATTATTTCTTGAATTGCAAAATCTGAGCAGAGCCTGTGATGTATCTTGTTACATATGTAGTCTTGTACAAGAGGAGAAAAATTAAAAATCTGCGTTTCCTCTGCAATGTATTCCTGTCTCTTCTTTCATGGACCTTCTATCTACAACATGGCCTTAAATATTACCAAAGCATCCAGGAGCTGGCTTGGGAAAACATGCTCCTTGTTCAAAAAGTTTGCAGGTTTGTTGTTACCCCACTGCGTTCTGGTTTGTGACAGAGTGGGATTTGTAATGCTGCCTTACTAACGTGTGTTCTATGTCGTAATGAGTTTTCACTTTGCCAGAATTAGATTTTTAAATGCAAAATAGATATTGGATTGGGCAAAGGTATTGGAATATTTTGGCCACCTAAAATAGTTTGGCCTCTTATTGTGTTGGTTTTTGTTCAGGAGCCTGCATTTAAGTGAATATTCTGTATATTAATTTAAAGAAGGGAGATAACTGCACATATCTGATGTTCTGCTCTCCCATTATTGGTTACTTGAGAAATGCAGTCTACCAGCACCCGTGTACGCCTTTCAGCAGACGCTGACCGGTGTAAGCCTTCCAGCAGGAGCTGCCCCAGCCACGTGCCTGTATAAGCTCCTTTCTGCTGCTCTGTTGATGAATTATTTATTTTTTTGCCCCAAGAAATATGTTTGGTATAATATATAGCGGTGTGGATACGGTACTTGATACTTGCCACTTTCAGGAGTTGGATGTCAGATTTTTTTAAAAACTGGCTCTGCTAGGGTGTAGCAGAGAGCCATGCCAGAGCAGCTGCTACCTGTAGGCATCATGGTCTCTGGATGCCGCAGCTCCCAAGATACTTCACTCTTGTTTGCTCCAGGTGAGCCACATCCTCCCAGTAGGACCTGTGCTGCTGGTATTGCTAATGCTTTTCTTCTCACTACCACCCCTGTTTTTGTTCTGGCTGACAAGCAGCAGATACTGGACAGGGTTTTTTGGGGCTGCACTCTCACGCGTGTTCAGCGCCTGTCCTGGGAAGAACTGCTTCTGCTTCAGTATGCCAGTGCAGGGTGTCTGTCTGGGACTGCACGGTTCACACTTGAGTTCAGGCTGTTCCAAGCCTATTGCTGCAGCGTGAACATGGCACAGGTTTGCTCGCTGCGTATATGAAAGCTGTGACAGTACAGTTAAAATGTCATCTCTTCTTTCTCTACCATCAGTCACTCGGCATCTGAAGAGGCCTCTGGCTCTGACTCTGCAAGCCAGTCTGAAAGTGAGCAGGGCAGCGAGTCAAACAGCAGCTCGGAGTCCTCTGAAAGTCAGTCTGAATCCGAAAGCGAATCAACATGTTCGAAATCCCAGCAGACCCCTCCTGAAACCAAAGAAAAACCGGCCTCTAAGAAGGAAAGGATAGCAGATGTTAAAAAGGTACTGCCCCTGCTGCTCTATGTAGCCATGTAACCCCTGTGCCCACCACGAAAGGGGCAGGCAGCAGGACCTTCACAAAGCTCTCTTCAGCTACCCGGTACTTTGCAGATGGCCTCTGGTGTCCCCAGGTCACTCGCTGGCTGTCTGGTCAGTGTGCTGGTGCCCTGCTGGTGTCCTTGTGAGCTGGAGCGTGTGTGTTTGATGGAACAACCCTTTGGGCACCAGACAGATAGTGACGGGGCTGGCTGGTGACAGTGAGGGGCAGGTGCCTGTCATCGATATATGACCCTGTCATTTCATCCTCTCCCTCCTTCTGCTCCTGTTCTTTCCTGTCCCTCCCTCAGAAGCAGTAAAACTTCCCCTGTGTGATACATAATTGGGAGAATCCTTCCTTAGGATTTCGGTCACTTTGGCTTGTTTCCATGACTGGTGTCTTCTTTGGAAAACATAAAGAAAACAAAAGAGGACGAGGAAAATAAAACTATTTCACTTCTGTTATTGTATCCAGAACAGTCTATCCCAGCTACCCCATAGCAATAGCCCTCTCAAATAGCCAGGTTTGCCCTCCACATGTTGCTGCCCAGGAGGAAGAGGGGTTGCAGTTGTCTAACACATGGGGTGTTTGGTGAGCACCTCCCTGGTGCAGAAGCTGTGCCTTGGGTACCTGCTTTGCCTGAGGGATGGAGGCACAGTGTAGTGTGAGGTGAGAAAGAGGAGCCCAGATACTCATTTGGAGACAGGATCTCAGTGAACTTGAAGGGAGGAAAATCAGGTTATATCAAGGTGTTTTCTTTATTTGTCTGTGATGTGTAACTATCCTGTTCTTCTTAGCTGTGCTTTGCACTTTGCTTAGGAGAGTGAGTTTTATGGAGAAAATTGCTCTGGATATAAAAACTGAGAAGGAGGGGCAGTGCTGCCAGCCTGGGCTCCCCAGCTACCTGCAAGGGAGAAGTGAAGGGTTTTGCTACCAGCTTCTCCTTCTCACAGATCTCTAGGGTGCCAGCTCGGGTTGTGGCTGAATCTCTGTGTTCAGACTGGCAAGGAAGGATGTGTTCATAAGGCAGTTGTGGTAACACAATATGCAAATTTCTGTTTTATTGTTGGTAAGTGGGGACTAAAGGAAGTTTTCTCTTCCTCTTTGGGCTTCTAAGAGCATGTCCCTAACAATAAACCTAAAAATTATCCTGTGAGGGAGTGCATCCATACATGGGATGATAATTAACATGGATGAAACGTGGAAAGGTCAGGGCAACCCCTAATAAGAAAGCCTCTCCCTGCCTTAATTTCTCTGCTAATGGGTGTTTTTCTTAGCTAGGTCTAACCTAGGCATGTTGATACTCGTTCCCCTGGAATAACTAATGCAATTAATTAATATATTATTGTTTATTTTGTATTTCTGTCTAGATACACCCATGAAGGTGAGGTTAATTTGTGTTAGGTGCTATTCAGATTCGTCATGGGAGTCGATCCCTTATCCAAAAACTGTGTCATTTAAAAGATGTGCAGAGACGTTCTTCAAACAGTTCAGGGAATATTCTGATTCTTTTTTTTCATGTGAATTTATATCTCTGTACTCACATGCCCAACAGATACACACCTTTGCAGTCTGTCTGTTGAAGTGTTGTCCCATTGCTCTAATAGTAGGGAAAAAACTGCTGGGCTGCAGCCTTGTATTCATCACATTCCCAGTCCTAAGTTTCTGCTGCATCTGGCAATGCATTTTGATTTCCTTTTCATGCTAGTGACTTGCAGAGACATTTAAGGACTGGAGGGAGAGAGAGACAGAAGTAGAATGAATAGGTTTAGAAGACTTTTAAGAGGATAAGCTCTGCTGAGGGAGAGAAGGATGGTTGGAGTAGGTGTTTGAGAGACCTGTGCTGGTGGTTTGTATCTGCCCTGTAAATCTTCTGGTGTCCTCTATTGCCAACACAGCTCTGCATTCATACCCCCCAAGGCATCAGTTCTTGTCTCCACCTTCTCCTCCTGTCCATCCAGCAAGAACAAACTCATGCTGTCACACACAGTGTGTTGAAGTCTTTAGGGCCTGGCTACAGCAGGTGCAACCATTGCCAGCAGCTGGCCCTGCACCTCCCCCTGTCCTGTGCTGCCAAACCGTATGTGCCTCGGTGCCCTCAGGAGAACCACCACCACCTTGCCTTGCCAAAGGACTGGCTGCTCTGCTCCACTTACCACCCAGCCTGGGCCACAGACTCCACCTCAGAAGCTGCTGCTGGTATTGTTTTGTCACCAGGCTCATCAGGCAGCTGGGTGGGGTTTTCCCTGTGGAAAGGAGTTGTGGTGGAAGCCGCTAGTGACAGGGAATTGTCCTTTTGAGTTGGTAGAGAATGGACACCATGCTGCGTGCAAGGTGGTGCCTGCTTACCTTCAGCACTGCTTCCTGCAGAGGGCTGGCTATCTCAACCCTCTGGCCTTCAGCCTGGATGAGCTGGAGGTAGTTTGTACCCTAGTGGAAAGATGGACCACTGTAAAGATAATGGTGAGATAAATCATGCTGCTTTAGAGTGTTACCAAATCCCCCAAGATAATCATCATCATTTTCAGCCAGTTTTTTTGTGTCCATCTACCGGTTGCTAATTCTCTTAATAGTTTTATGTTGACTTTTTTTAAAAAAAATAATTCACCATCAAACTTCTGAAATGTCAGAAATAATTGGGGTGAAGCAGGCCTTCTGATGGTCTGTTTATTTTGCAGATGTGGGAAGAATATCCTGATGTTTATGGGGTTAGGAGGTCAAACCGAAGCAGACAAGAACCGTCACGATTTAATATAAAAGATGAGGTAAGGAGAAAAAAAAAAGGATGAGGGATTACTGGACGTATGAAAACAAAAAACCCAAAGAGCAGAGGCAGGTCTCATCTGCATTACCTTGTAAACACCGAGTCCTAGCTTGATGTGTGGATGGTGGAGCTCACAGTTAAGGTCCCAGTCCTGCAGTTGGATCCACTTGGCCTGAGACCTCTGGAGCGAGCGGGACGCTGCGTGGGCTGAGATCTGCATGCACTGGTCTGGTTGCTGGAATGGGGCGTGATTCAACTCATGCTCTGCTGTGGAAACGTCCTGGAGAGAATGAACCTGTGTTAAAACAAAACACAACACACATCCAACCAGGAATAAAGGAAACTTCCCAGAAACACCTCGTAACAACACAGCAGTCATTGTTGCCCATCCTGGAGCGGATCACGCTGATAGATGCATTTGTGTGTGTGGAGCTTTATGAACCATCACTTTTCTTTGGTTGAATATTGGGGAGTCTTATATTGAGCTGGAGGTGACTGTCAGAGCCTGGCAGACAAATCTAATCGTGCCTTTTTCAGAACACTTCTTTTTTTTTGCTTGTTTTTCTGAAGAGACAAGAATTAGCTGCCACCTTCTCATTAGGATCTAATGGACTTTCTGCATGTTCATCTGCAGGTCTTCAGGAGGGTCGAGTAGCTCTAGCAGAGGGGAAAGAAAACCAGGGAGAGGCTTAGACCAAAAGTGAAGCTTAGGGCCTAGGGCTAGGCACAAAACCATGTGGCTGGGGATCTGAAGGTCAGTAGTGAGGTTTTCAGCAGAGCAGGAGCCCAGAGGTGCTCTCTGACGGTCGGGCTCCTTGTGCTTGGCCACCAGAAGGGGCGTTTGGACGCTGGAGGGCTCCGAGTCGCACGGCAAACCCCACTCTGTCTCCTTGCTCTGGAGCGTTATCGCCGAGCCTTGCAGCACCCCCGGTGCCACCGCCTGCCCCCCCAGGCTCCTGTGCTGGCTGTCCCCCCCAGCAGCAGGTGAGGAGGGGGCTCGGGGCACGCCATTGACTTGGCTTTTGTTTTCCTTTTCAAGTTCGGCAAAGCCCGGGCTCGCCGGCCGCCTCTCTGTGCGATGCCCCGGCATGCACTGTGCTGGCGATGTCACACCCACCACAGAGCTCCGCTGCAGACCCGAGGGCCCTCTTAGGGGCTCAGGTAAGTCCCATCTTTTTTTGTTTTACAATATTACGTGGTTTTGCAAATGTTGTTTGCTTTTTAAATATCTTTATTTCCTATTACTTAAGGTACGATAAAGTTTAAAAAAAATAAATCCGAGATGTAAAAACTTTGCTATACCACAAAATATTGTAAAAACCAAAAAAGTCCTCCAAATGACCCCACTGTCACCTTCGTGAACCAGAAAGCCAAAAGTAACAAAATTGGACCACCCCCCTCCCCTCTCTGTCCCCAAAGTAACGCTGACTGGTCCCTGTAGGGCGACTCCCATCTGCAGCAGAGTCTGATGGAGGGTGTGACGTGTCAGGAGCACAGTGCTGGGGCCTCGCAAAGAGCAGGAGATGGAAAGTCTTGGTTTTGGAAGACCTAAATGCCGAGAGAGAGGAAGTAGCCTAACTGGAGCCTGCATGGTGCTGAGCACTCCTCGCTGCTGCTGGAGCCAGCAGAAACCCAAGGCACTGACACTCTGACACTTCTGAAGATTGCATGTGCCCTTTACAGGGCTAAGCCTCTCACCAGTGACCTGCTCTTGTCTCCTGCTGCTTGGGACTTCCAGCACAGTGTCTAGGAGCTTTTAATGGCCTCCTTCCCTAAGGCTTCTCTGCAGTATTAGCAAACAGCATCAGGCTCAGAACAAGAATCTGCCATCACACTTCCCCACGTGCTGCCCCAGGACTCGCCCTGCTTGGGGGAGATGGCACGTAGGTGGGGGTGGTTCAGTTTTCCTCTGAGACCTGCAGTTTGGGCAGAGTTATTTCTGTGTTAGAAATTATGGTCTTGTGGGAACTGCCCGGAGGCCACCGGCCAGGCTGTGTGGGTCTCTGAGCTGCAATCCAAGAGGGTGACAACTTGAGATCAGTACTGAGGCGTGGGCTGGAAGGTCAGGAAGCGAAAATGCAGCTTTGCATAGGGGTACAGAGCTGCTCAGAGGACTAGAGCTGTCTCCAGGAATAAGAGCACATGTGAGTTTTTTAGTAAAAACAGTACTTGCCCATGCGTTTTCTTTGCAGTTCATAAGTCAGCCTCAGGTTTCATCCAGGGGAAGTGAGACGTGCAGAGCCAGGTGCCTTTCAGAGTGTTCTGGGGCAGTGGAGGAATAAACATGCCCAAAACAGACACTGTCTTTTTACTATAAAAAGGTTGGTTTCAGATTTGAGTTGGCAATAATTGCCATGGTGCATCTTCTCTGTGAGAGAGAAGCCACAAGCTGTTCACCAGAGGTGTTCCAAAAATACAGTTGGTTTTATTACTGAAAAAAAAATTCCTCTCATTTACATTTTGGTGGATTCTTTACCTCGTATCTTTGCTGAAAGTTCAAATGGTACTGGTATTACTCAGAGGGAGAAGTTCAGCAGCCATAAGAAAACTTAACTTGGTGAGCTGAGATTCTCCAGCTTTTCTGGAGCTTTGCCTCTGTTAAGCCTGAAACGAGCAAATCTTCGCTTTGACTTTAGTCTGAAATATTTCTTACCTCTGTTTAAGCAAGTCTTCATCTCTCCTAGCAGGCAGCCTGAGCTCAAGAGGCTCACTTGGACCATGCCAGTGGCCTTGAGTCTCCATTTCTCTTGCCCTGGACTAGCAGCAAGGACACGCATGGGCAATCTCTGAACTTCAAAGCTGCTGCTGTGTTGCTGTGCTTGGTGCTGCATCTACAGCGCCATTGTTTTGTACAGTATTGCTCCATGGCAAAACACAGCATAATTCATCTAGTAAAAGTGTGTGCACTTTGTGTGCTGGGGAGGAGAAAGAGTAAATTCTATGGGAGGAGCCAGCAAGGCATGGAGAGGGAAGGCTGATCTCTGCAGCGGGAGGTGGGGAGAGCAGGTTGCAAGAGGCCAGTTCCTAGTGCAGTTGGAAGCAGTGGTGCAGGAATAAGCTGGGCACTTTAGTAGTGTTGGGTGGAGAAAGGGGGAACTGGGGAAGGCAAGTCATCTTTCCACTTGGCCACAGCAGCAGCACCCCAGAGGGACAGCCTGAGCCCAGCAGAGCTTTGCCAGTGCTGGTGCTTGGGCTCTGCGAGCAAGCAGAGTGCCCCCAGCATCTATTGCTGGGCTGATGAAAGCCCTGGTGGCAACTGGAGATGGATTTTGACAGCTTAGCTTGTGTCATTCAGGAAGTGACGTTGCTAAAATTCAAGTGGCATGGGATGTCCCAGCCAGTCTCTTCCTGACGACTTGGGGGTGGCAGGCTGGAGGTGCAGGCAGGGCCTCAGGTGCATGCTCTGGACCTAGCATGCTCCCAGCTCATCTGCCCTTCCTTAACTGAGGAATTTGCCACCAGCCAGAGCCTGTGGATTGACGTTGACAACAGGGTGTCACAAGCACAAGCTCTGTGCTGCAGAGGTGCAGATCTCACTCTTGGGCTGATGGAGCCAGTCAGCATAGACTTTTGTGTCTGAGTCCTGAAATGTGGATTTAAACAGAATGAAGAGGTTGCTAAAAATGTGCCTGTGCCTTTTTTTTTTTTTTTTAAGAAAATTGTTATTATTTCTGCATAAAACAGCAGAAAGCAGCTTTCAGCCAGGGTCTGGAGCCTCTCACCCCAGGGTTACCATGCCAGGAGGAGCTGGTGAGGAGGAGACACAGCCGTGGTAGGTGAGGGAGTGGGGAGGAGAGGCTGGGTCACGGGTGGCTGCTGCAGGCACGGCGCTTCCCGGCACCCGGGCAGGGAGGATGTGGGAGCACAAGGCAGGCAGATGACTCAGGCTGGGGACTGGCTGTGTCAGAGGAGATAGGGCTGGGCTTGGCACACATCCAAAAAAAACAACGCTGTCTTTGAGAAATGTACCCAAAGGTGCCTGAATTGCAGTCACAAGTTGAACTTTTCGAGTCAAGAAGAGGGGGGAAAAGGCAAATCGTGAAGAGATGAATGTTGACTTTATAAAGGCAGTGACAGAGCAGGGGGACAGTGGAGGCATTAGGAAAATGGACACTAGAAACTTGGAAAATGGGGTTTTGGCAAAGAAGTGGAGTTAGTTTCAAAGCACCAAAGGTTGTGTTTGGTTTTCTCCAAATCTGATCTTCTCTGACGCAGAGCAGAAGAAAAATCCATCTCTCTCCCCTTGTGGTTTGCCAAAAGAGAGCAAAAGGTAAAAGTGCATAGAGGGACAGCTCTCAAAATATGTGCCAAACTTGGAACAGCAAAGCAGCACACTTCAGAGAAGCAGATAAGAGAGTAAAAGAGGAGAAAACTGAGGGCTTCTAAACTTTGCTTGTTGGAACTGAAACCTGTGGAATGCTTGGCTTATGTAGCAAGGGTAGGTAGGGCCCTCCGTGGTGTTTGGCAGGCACTTGCTTCCTGGATGCTTGGTGAATGAGACAGGGATTTCATTCAGGGCCATGCAACAGGTGGATGAACACTCATTCATTGTGAGATACAGCACAAAAAGTGTTATTGTGTCATGTAAACCTGACACCAAACCACAGTGGCATTCATCTAAACTTCTGGCATCCAGTACTTCAGTGTATTTTAATGGAAACTCTGGTGCAAACAAGAGGAAAATTTCTGTTGGTGGAAGGTGAGCTAGAAAAAAGGGATAAAGGGTGCAGAAAGAAAACAGAGGGGTGGCCACGGCTCTCCAGAACCTCCACTTTTTCACGTTGGAGCTCACACTGTTTCACAAAGTTCTTCTGTGAACAGCTCTCAGCTGTAAGCTTTGCTGGCTGTGTCTAGGAGGGTGGTGGATGTACCAGGAGATGCAAACTGAGATAGTTGTGGTGATGAACAGGCATCACCTAGAGCTGAAACCAAATACTGCAGCAAAAAGCAGCACGAAGCAGAACTTCTCCAGGAATTGTGTAGAGCAAGGAGACTGCTGTCCTCTTAATGCTCCTCTCACGTGAATTTCTTCAGTTTTCTCCCTGCTGATTTCTGTTTTCTGGAGCAAGTGTGTAAGACAAAGTCATCTGTTGTTTGAGGGGTGTTATTTCTGTGGTAATTTCTTTTCACAGTTTTTAAACTGGACTGGTTTTTACAAAAATGGGGTTATGTGCAACCAACCTAAAGATTTTTTTTTTCCAGCTATCTTGGTCTGTGGGAGTTAACGATGCCCACATTTCAAATAGGACAGCAGGTAGTCAGAATATCTCCAGATGTGCTTAGCCAGGGAGACTTTGCTGGTGGAGACTGGAGGACTAGGAGGAAGGAAAGCAGCAGGGCATGGCTCTGACCCAGTCAGGTCCTCAGCAGCTCAGGAAAGCAAGGAGACTTTTGTGATGAGAATATTATCTTTTTGATAAGAATTTCCTTCCTTATAGAGCTCCTAATGCATTTGTGTGGCTGCCAGAGTTTCTGCAACCACAGAATCAAAGCCTGACTGCCCACAGGCATTGCAGGAGTCCTGCTGACATGGCAGGCAGGGGTGCTCACAGAAGAAAGGGATGCTCACAGCAGTGTAATCAGCCACTGCACATCCAGTGAAGAGCCCTGTAAAATAGCTGAGCCTTAGCATGGAGGAAAGACCAAGTCACACTGCTGCCCACTTCTGGAGCATCAGGCAGGAGCCATGCTCACCTTGCACCGTAGGCAGAGGCAGCAGCAGCTGAGCTGCCCTCTCTGTCTCTCTCTGGGTTATGTTTTGCCTCCAGTGCTGGGCTGGGCAAGGTTTGTTGGGTTGAATTCACCCGTGGTTCTGTAGTGTGTGGAGTACTGCTCACTCTGCAGGTCTGCCTGGCCACCACTGCTGCTCAGGTGGCATCTGCCAGCTCTCAGAGGTTGCTTCTGAGGGGTAGGTGGCTCACAGGCTTGCACATCCTTCAGGAGGCAGTCCAGAGCAAAGCCTACAACCTGATTTTCTTTCTTTTCGATTCAAGGCAAGTAGTGAATCTGAAAATGAGAGCCCAAAAAGAAGAGGCCAGAAGCAATTGAAAAAAACGTAAGTTTCTAGGGAAAGGGTTTTGAATGGTGGTACCTGGTTTGGGTTTATTTTTCAGAAGAGTAGTATTGGATTGTTTGAGAGGTGTTGTCCACATGGAGAGCTTGTAAAAGAAATTTAGTATTTCCAGTAGTAATTCTTTGGATGACTGAAACTGGAGTATGAATATGGATCTACAGATAGATGGAGTTTCCCAGCTTTCCTTTTATTTATATTTCCACTTTGCCTATGATGAAATCTGAGCAAGGCAGGGTCAGTTTCTGGTGTCAGTCTTTCTCTTCTCCATCAAGTTACTTGTTCTCCTTCAGAGATACTTAAAATAGTTTAATCCCTTCTCATTCTACCTTTTTGATTAACAGAATAAAATACCAAATTATTATCCTCTTTTATAACCCCTCTGCTGAAACAAAAGAACTTCCATAAAGGGTATGTTGGATGATCACTGTAGCTGAGTTCACTTGCAGACCTATTTTACTGCCTTTTTCCATCTAATGAGTGTCTTCTAGTTTTTCCAAACACTAAAGTGAACTGAAGGGAGCTACAAGCTGTGTGCTGGAGAATGCTGAAACACAGCCACATGATCCTGCTCCCTTTCTCCTGTTTCTTTTAATTTTTCATTCAGTTGCCCACATCAGTGCAGGGGGGAAGGGGTTAAAGCACAGGGAGACCTGTGACAGTACGGACCTCTCCTGGGCAAGAGGAGTAATCCCTGTGGACTCTCCACATCCCCTTGGAGAGAGGAGGGGCTCCTCCAGAGGGCAATTTGGAGGTGCAGTTTTGCTCTGAATTGCCCACAGAGAATGTGCTTCCTTTCACTAATGGCACAGTATGATTTGGCTTCATGCTTGGAAACTTTGATTGCCTGAATTTAGATGGCAGGAGACTTCTTGCTCCATTTTCCAGGCTATAAGGAGATCATGTAACTGTGCATGTTGTGGTTTGTGCTCCATAAGTGAAAGTGAGCACTTCCCTTAAGATTTTTCCAGCTCATTTCAGAACTGCAGAAGAGGAAAAGAAAAATAAATGGAAGCTCTTGCCCACCCAGTTGTAAGAAGTGCAGCTCTGCCACAAGCACTGTTGTGGGACATGTTAAGAGCCACTCTCACTCAACATCCTCTGCCTCTACATGAACTAAACCCTAGGTGACAGACCTCTTCCTAAAAGCAGAGAACCCCACAAAACCCCCCAGTGCTTTGCACTGAACAACCAAGAGTGCAGTTTGGACTTTTTTTCTCATAATTATGGCCTGCTAGTATGAACCTTGATGGCTTGGATGTCTGCTGAGCCAGGTATTTCTGCTGAAGTATGATTGCCCTTCGTGACCTACATTTCTGACTGTAGAAACAAATGGAAAAGAGAGGTCTCTGGTGAAGAAGAGGATGAAGATGGAGGGGAGCAAGGCACCAGTGGAGAGAGTGAGCCTGAACCGAAGAAAATCAAAGCAAGAAGACCTGCCCAGAGGAGGTAAGGTTTAATCTGTGTGTTTTTCTGCATATGTCTTTTCTGCCTGTGTTGGGTGGAGGGGTAATCTCTCTTTGCCACTAAAGAATGTGTTTTTTCTGCAATATTACCCTTGTTTACGACCTAGTAAACTTAGGGCCTGGTTCCTCTCTCTGTACCCATTTCGTGCTCCAGTGAGTGATGCAGTGGTTTCCATGGGAGTTAAAGCAGACTAAATCCCTACAAGTCTAACATCTGAGTGTCATCCTTTCCTGAAGACTTCATAAAATGTATGTTAATGTAAAACATGCTGTATTATGGCTTTATTGATTCTTATTTTAGAACAGTGGCCAAAACCAATGTTAAAAAGCCTCACAAACGCCAGTGTGGCAAGAAGAGAAAGAGACCAGACTCATCTGAAGAGGATGATGATGACGAAGATGACGAGACCCCCAAGAGACAAACTCGACGAAGAGCAGCCAAAAATGTCAGGTATCAAGAAGTGTGGGGTTGCTTGATGATGAGGCCTATCTGACTGGGGAGGAGGGGGCACCCCAAATTCCCTGTCCTAGGCACTGTCTCCCTGTGTGATCCTGCAGAAGGACCCTCCTCTGCCCTGCAGGCATCTGCTGGCTGAGATGTGGTTCTTCTGGGCAGGTTCATGCTGTGAACATCTTACTTCTCTTTACCTTGTTTTGCCATCTGTAAAGGAGGGAATATTTACCTGACCTTCTCAGAGAAAAGTGAGGAGATTTGCATCACATTTCTAAAGCATGCTCAGATGAGATTAACAATTACAAATTATAGAATAAAATTAATAAAAAGAGCTGTGCGGGTTGGGCTGGTTGTCTGAGAGTGGCTGGTAGGTGATGCCTTGGGACAGAGTGTTGAGATGTGGTGGAGGTAAAGCATTATCAATATACCTTCTCACCTTTTGGCAGCCCTAATAAGGGGCTGGTGAAGAGCTGCTCAGTATTTCTTTGGTGCTTGAGTGTTCATCAAAGATGAGAAGTGTAATTCCTAGGTCATTTTAGGCACCCATGCAGCCTTTTGATGCTCTGCTACCTCCATTGTTAAACATAATCTTTCTTTTACTGGATAGAGGAGACTTTCCCTGTTGACAGTCTTGCTTCTGCTGCAGGGATTGTTCCACATCCTCATGAAGCATTTGGTTTTGGCCACGGTCAGAAAAAGTATGTGGGCAAGATAGAGTATTACTGATAAAGTGTAGCTGAACATCTCGGGGAAAAATACTGAATGGCTAACTTAAAAAATGCAAGTGCTGAGTCCCTGGAAAAATGCTGGAGAAAGCTTGCTCCAGTCCATGCCACTCTGTGTGTTTCTGGACTGGGAAGTGCCAAGGTGGCTCTTATCAGTTTGGTTTTGATCTTCTCCAGTTACAAAGAAGATGATGATTTTGAGACGGATTCCGATGACCTGATAGAGATGACTGGGGAAGGAGCTGATGAACAACAAGACAACAGTGAAACTATTGAGAAAGTTTTGGACATAAGGACTGGAAAAAAAGGAGGTGTGTAGTTAGAAAAAGCCTTTATTTCTAATGTCAGTTGTGCACTCACAGTTTCTCTGGACCTAGTGCAGTGCTTTTGCAGCTTCAAAGTGGGGCCAAGGGCTGTTTCAGTGCTCTTCACCCTTTGCTCTCTCCCACTTATTTATGCCTTCTAGCAGCTTTGGTAAAATCTAGTATGGAGAAATGTAAAATGTCAAGTTTATATGCTTGGCAGCTCTCATTTAGTGTGCATGCATTTAAAAGACACAGTCATTGTTCTGCAATTCTTGCTTTTCTCTTCTTTGAAATATAAAATAGGTCTTCCAGTAGAGTCAGTTTTCATGGCTCCATTGACAAAGCCATCATGAAAATAAAGCCTATGTTTTGTTCTCCCAGCCTTACAAAAGGGCTTTTGTAAAACTCAATGGTTGTGAATGTTTCCAGGAGAGTTTTGAATTATACTTAAAAAGCATTTATGATAGTTCTAAAAAGATCCTGTTGTGGTGGAGAACCGTTGTGTGCCTGTCTTACTGTGCTGCAGAATCTGTAGGATATTCTTTGGGCTGTCACAAAGGATGTGTTAGAAAAATAACTTCCTGCTTTAATGCAGCCCATGTCCAGTGCTTGATAAAAAAGGTGCTGACTGCAGCCTGATTTCTTTTGCAGCCACTGGTGCTTCCACCACAGTGTATGCAACTGAAGCCAACGGCAACCCAAGCGCTGACTTTGATCCTGAGAAGGATGAGGGAGAAGTTCAGTACCTGATCAAGTGGAAAGGCTGGTCGTACATCCACAGCACGTGGGAGAGCGAAGAGTCCCTGCAGCAGCAGAAAGTGAAGGGCCTGAAAAAGCTAGAAAACTTCAAGAAAAAAGAGGAGGAGATCAAGCAATGGTATGCTTCATCAGCCAGTGATTTGGCCTTGGGCAAATATGTTGTAGCCAGAGATTTGCAGATTCATGACTGAAAACATTAGATTTCCTCTTACAAAGCATCTCTCATCCAAAGCAATTGTTTTCAGTGCAGAACACTCACATCTCTCTTTGCCTACTGATGAACATTCCCCCTGATAGAGATGATGGCTGTGGCCGTGCTGTTGAAAGAGAGAGGGAGAGGCATGAAACTCACAATATTGCCACTTCTCAGGCTTAAGAATTGTGTAGCTGACAACAAATAAATGGTGCACAGATTGACCTGGCCCAGCAGGTGACATGAGAGTTTGCAGCCTTATTAACCCTTGTTAACTATGGTCTTGTCTGTATGCAAGTTTTTGCTACAGCATGTCTGCAGAGTGATAAAACTGGAGCAGCAGACTCAGACTCTCAGAGTTTGGTTTTGAGACTAAATCTTGCAGCAGAATAAGGTGTCATTTAACAGGGAGACAGTATGGACATCTGTGCCATTTGCTTCTCAGTAATGATTTATGATTATAGGAAGCTTTAAGAATCATGTCATATAAGGAGTAGTCTGCTTCAGTGACTTGTCTGAAGGACAGAACCATATAGAAAAGTAGAATTTCTATATGTGGCCTCCAAAAGCGTTAGGACAGAAGCATTATAGTGATTTTTTGGTTTGGATTTTTTTTTTGCATCTAGGCTGGGCAAGGTATCACCTGAAGATGTAGAATATTTCAACTGCCAACAAGAGCTAGCTTCAGAGCTAAACAAGCAGTATCAAATAGTGGAGAGAGTAATTGGTAAGTGAAGCCACCAATCTTATAAAGGGCTGAAATAAGACATGGGAATTTTAATCTCTAGTGACAGCAGAATGAGTCTGCAGCAGAATGAGTGTGTGGTGATCTCTTCTTCCCTGTCCTCCAGCATCTCTGGAGAAAAAAAACTGATGTTGAGTGTATTTCAATGTGTGATTCAGGGATTTGAACAGTAGAAATCTAAGTTTATGGATTTGTATTTACAAGCAATACAAATCAGTCTCTCTCCTGCTTGCCTGAAGTATGGGATGATAAACTAGTTTCCAAAGGGATGCTGAAGGTGCTGCTCCTGACGTTCTTTGACTTCAGCCCTTTGGAATCAAATTGTTTGTCTCCACAGCAGCAGTGCAGGCCTCACAGGCTTTCCTGAGGACCACTTTGTGATGTGGCTGAGGATGGGGTTAGGCTGCAAGGCAGCTCAGGGGTTAGATTTTCATGTTTACTTAATAAAAATAGAAACGGGACTTAACTGAGCACTTCAGCAATATCACTGTCATGTCAGTCAGAGGTGCCAGCATCCAGTTGTTTTGGGAATTGGCTCGGAGACCTGTTTAACCTCTTGCCAGCCCAACTCCTGTGCAAGTGCCTGGGGTGCGTGGCAGTGGCAGCCTGTCTGCTCTGCTCCCTCTGCTGGCTGCCAGCTCTCCAAACCCTTCCCTCCCTTCTGTCTCCAAACACAGCTGTGAAGACCAGCAAGTCTACGACGGGACATTCAGATTTCCCAGGTAAAGGAGCATTTTTCCTTTGGTCCCTCTAAACTTCTGCTCACTGAGCCCTGTTCTTGTGGTTGCAGGGGTGGTTCGGGCTGCCCCTGTGAACCACGCGTGCGGTTCGGCCACGGAACCACAGCTGCTGAGGCTTGGGCTCTTTCTGCCTGTTCTGCAGCAAACAGTCGGAAGACATCCTCGAATGACCCCGAGTACCTGTGTAAGTGGATGGGGCTGCCCTACGCCGAGTGCAGCTGGGAGGATGAGGCTCTCATCAGCAAGAAATTTCAGCATTGCATCGACAGCTTCAACAACCGGAACAACTCCAAAACGATCCCTACCCGGGACTGCAAGGTGTGCTTGCTCCTCTGCTCTCCTGTCCCTGGGTTTTCCCTGCCTGGGTGATGGTGCGAGCGGTGGGAAGATGAAGTTTTGTCAGGATGAATGTTGGAGAATGTCTTCCATCCTCCCACCAGCTTGGGTGGTTGTTTGCTGTTCTTGTGTTGTCCTGCAGGCAGAGATGTGAGCTCCCTTTTGGCTTCATTTACTCTGGGCACAGGGAGAATGTTATGTTCCTCTGGGGACTGGGAGGCTTAATTAATCCTTGCAGAGTGCTTCCTCCTATGAAGGAGCTGCTGCAGATTAATATCAATTAGGTGAATAAAAAGCACACCTGAGAAAAGATGCAAGATGCTGATATAGTGGAGGAGAGGGACAGAGATAATGGGAGGGAAAACAAGAGGACAAAAAAAGAAAGTGGTAAAAATCACACCTGAGAAAAGATGCGAGATGCTGATATAGTGGAGGAGAGGAACAGAGATAATGGGAGGCAAAACAAGAGGACAAAAAAAGAAAGTGGAGCTTGTTCCATCTGGTGTGCATTATGTACAGCCTGCTGCACTCCTGGGGGGACTCACAGCCCTGGCCATCAGAACCAGAGGGCAGCAGGCAACACATGACACTGTGGAGTGATTTCTGGACTGCAGACATAAGCACTGGCTAGGAGAATGTGGATGGACAGATAAACATTCAGTGCTGAATTTTCAACCTTACTTGGTCTTTTTCTTCAGTGGGCTTACAGCATCTTCTTTTCCAGGTATTGAAGCAGAGGCCAAGGTTTGTTGCCTTGAAGAAACAGCCTTCTTACATTGGTGGTGAGAACTTGGAGCTGAGAGATTACCAGCTGGAGGGCCTCAACTGGCTCGCTCACTCATGGTGCAAGTACGTACGGATGCTGTGTGGCTTCCTTTTGTCTCCTGATTTTCATCCCAGGAGGATCTGGCCCTCATGTTTTCAAGTGAGGTCTTTACCCATCCTGCTTCTGCAGCTTGAAGGATTTCAGATGTACTCATGCCCAGCTGCGTTGCAGACACCACAAGCAGGAGCTATCTCTAGAGCATGAACTCAAGAAACCTTCTGCAAAAACCAAACAGCATTTTCCCTGCCTGGGCCTGTTCACACGCTGGACTTGGCTGCTGTGTGAGCCTAGTGCATATCAGCCCTAATTTTCCATTGCCTTAACTGAGAAAATGGTTTCTGGCTTGTCATGCTAACACACTTGTTGAAGTCTTTGAGAAATGTCCTTCTAAAATTAGGCCACTGACTCCCCTCTGCCTTGGCCTTTGTCCTTGCTTGCCAGTTTGGAGTGATCATAGTCTGTCCCTTCTTGCAAGTTTTTGTGCCACATCCAGTTTGGATGTCCCTAGGATCACTTGGAAGTGTTCAGAGAAATATTTTTCCCTCTTTCTCTCTCTGCTGTGGATTACATGGATTCATGGCGATGCACAATAAATTAGTGGTGGTGGAAACACCCTCAGACAGCATTTCTGTTTGTCCTCTTCTTTCTCAGGAACAACAGTGTGATCCTGGCTGATGAAATGGGCCTGGGCAAGACGATCCAGACGATATCGTTCCTGTCGTACCTCTTCCACCAGCACCAGCTCTACGGCCCCTTCCTGGTGGTGGTGCCCTTGTCCACCCTCACCTCGTGGCAGAGAGAGTTTGAAGTGTGGGCACCCGAGATCAATGTGGTGGTTTACATAGGAGACCTCATGAGCAGGAACATGGTGTGTGATCAGAAAGCAAAGGGCGTGGGCTTGGGTGGAAAGCAGCAGCTTATGTGTCATGTCTGACTCTCATTCTTCTGGGGTGGCTGATGGATAGTGCTGGCAGAACTGCAGGCTGCCAGGGCTGGTGTAGCTGAGCACTTGGCCATAATTCACTGCTGCAGGGACTTTTCTGCTGTATTTCCCCTCTTTGAATGAGTACTGGCTTCTCTTAGAGTCTGGAAGCCACTACTGCACTGGGCTGAAGCATGCTGAGGTAAGGAGCAGAGCAGTGTGGAAGTTCTGGTGTCACTGGTGAGATGATGCCTTTGTTTGGCAGATGAGGGTAAAGCCACAACAGCAAGGTGTTTGTTTGACCTTGTTCTGTTACTTGTGCAAGTGCAGCTGAAGCACATTTGCTCTAAACCAAGCTGCTCCTTTGGCACCCTGAGCTCAAAGTTAGTTGGAGTCTCTGGCTTATAGCTGCACTGAAATAATAATTGTTAATTCATAGCTACACTAAAATAATGATTGTTAACTCTTTCCTTCCCGTAGCACAGGTTGAAGTTAACATTTCTCTCCTCTCACAGATACGTGAATATGAGTGGATCCACTCTCAGTCTAAAAGGCTGAAATTCAATGCACTTATCACAACCTACGAGATCCTTCTCAAGGATAAGGTGAGTAATGGGCCAAGGACGTATGATTTAGACTTCCTCTCACTTGCAAAGGGGGAAGCCAGCCCCCAGCTAGTGGGTTTTGCCTCTTTTCTCTGTGGTGACAGGGAACATACAGCTACTGTCAGGTTTTGCTTAACTATAATGCAGAGGGAATGTGGGACACCTGTTGGTGTTTTCACTCTTGTACTGCATGGTCCTGATACTCTGTTTTACTTTTAAGACACCAGGCAGGGCAGTAGCTGGATTTTAGCTGGTTTAATTTAGGCTAGTTAAGAGGACAAACATTACACTGAACTATTTCCCATAGTGTTAACAATATCTGGGTTTTTACACGTAGGAGAAATGCATCTGCTTAGGAAGTATTCCTCAGCACTGGCAGTGCACCACTGGGTCCAAGTGGGAAACAGAAAGCTTAATACTAATTAAAAAAGACAATTAAACCTCTCAGTTTGCCTTAACTTGTAGTCTTGTTTGTCTGCTTTCCTGCTGCTGCTCCTGTGGGGCTAGTGCTACAGCAGGGCCTCAGGGGCATGGGGAAGGGGGGCTTGGCAGAGAACTGTGCTTTATGGGCAAAACAAGGGATTAAAATGGATATACTTACTGCAAGACTACTGGGAGCACTAGACAGCGTGGCTGATTTTCACCTTTCCTTTCTGGGAAGGCAAAACTAGTGTAGGCATTATGAGCTCAGGATTTTGGTAACACGGAACTCCTGTGAGCCCAGCTCCTTCGGTGGTGGTTTGGGGCAGGACATCCTGGAAAGCACTGTAGTGAGAGAAGCATGTGCAAGGTGGTGGGGCTTGTCTGACCCAGCATCTCCTTGGGGCTTGTTTTTTTTTTTATTTATTTCTTTTCCTCCAGGCTGTTTTGGGAAGTATTAACTGGGCCTTTCTAGGCGTGGATGAAGCCCATCGGTTGAAAAATGACGACTCTCTGCTGTACAAAACGTTGATTGATTTCAAGTCCAACCACAGGCTGCTGATCACGGGCACCCCGCTTCAAAATTCACTCAAAGAGCTCTGGTCCCTGCTGCATTTCATCATGCCAGAGAAGTAAGTCAACTTGTGGTCCTTCAGAAAGTATCTCCGTCCAGTCTTGTCTGCTCAATAGACTCAAGGGAGTGCAGAGTGGCAGAAATTCCTGAACTGAATCCCTAAATTAAACTCAGTGGAGTCAGAGCAGTGAAAGGGGAACAGACCATTGGTGGGGAAAATCAGAGGTTAAATGACTAACACAAGGGATATTTCTGGCAGTAAGTTGAATGGGGAAACCTAATACATGCCTTTCAAATATGTCTGCTGTCTTAGAGCCATCTCTAAAAAGCTGAACTTGTTTTAAGCAATCATTTCAACCATTTCTGAGGTTTCCAGTACACTGTGGTTCAGCCACCCTTGCCAACCATTTTATGGTAGTCTCTGGGAGTATTGCTCAAGGATGGTGCTGTCTAGCTGATTGTTCCTGTGTCCACATAAAGAAAACAAAACATTTGTTATAAAACCAAATGGGCTGTGTGCATCGCTAAGACTAAGACAAGCATGCCCCAAAACTCACTAAAATTATGCTTGACTGAAAAAATAGCTGTCCCCCAAATTCTTTTTGTTGGATCACAGAAAGAGTGAAGGGAAGGTTTAAGGTCTTCTAAATGGAGAAGAGCAGATTCCCCACATTTCAAAGGAGCTGTTGGAGGAAGCAACAATCCAAAAGAGTCTTCAGAGTAGTGTGAAACATAGTCCAGTTGTCAAGGCCCTGCCTTGGGAAGGGCACTGTGGAGAGTTCAGAAACTGCTGCTGGGTAAACACCAGCAGGAGATACAGCAGAATACTGGTAAAGGGGATTTTTGGGTCCTGGGAGTCATTGTGGATCTCAAGGATAAGATGTTAGGAAGGCATCTAAGCCTAGAGAGCAGCTTTGCCATCTATCTGTTTAGTTACCCAGAGCAGAGTGAATCTTTTATTCTCCACTGTATCTCCATTAAATTGATGGTCTCCTGTTTTGTTGTGCAGCAGGAGCACATCCAAAGGATGCTTTTTGGTGCAATAAGACAAGAGGTATTCTGACCCCTCTCTGCTCCTCATTTCTGTTACTAGGTTTGAGTTTTGGGAGGATTTTGAAGAGGATCATGGGAAGGGTAGAGAGAATGGCTACCAGAGCCTTCACAAAGTCCTGGAGCCATTTCTCCTGCGCAGAGTAAAGAAGGATGTGGAGAAATCTTTGCCAGCCAAAGTGGAGCAGATCCTCCGGGTGGAAATGTCTGCTCTGCAGAAACAGTATTACAAGTGAGTCCTTTATTAAAGTTACTGGGAGTGCCAGTAGAAATGGGCACATCTTTCTGTGTGCCTTGGGAATGTGTTTCATTATACTGTGTCCTCCAGAATGCAATGTGACAGCCATCACCTCTAGTACCAGGAGCTTCCCAGTAGGAATCTGAGGTCGAGTGGTTGGTATCTTTCCTTCTATAAAGGCACCTCCAGACCACTGGAGATACTCTTGTAGAGTGGTACAATTTGTCTGGCCAGTTTTGCAGGGCTAAGGCTATGTTTGTCCTGGGGGACTAAAGCTCTCCACAAAATTGTGGTGCTGTTTAATATTAAACTGTAGTAATACCAGTAGGAAAGTGAGATCAGGGTTTCCAGTGAGAAAACAGCAGCATCCTCTAGATGGGCAGGGAGATGGAGGGAGGGTAGCAGACTGATGCCTGAACAAGATGTCCCTGAAGGTTTTGTTCCTCCAAGACCTCCAGCATACCCCCTCTGCACTGTGAAACAATGTGGACTTTTCATTTTCTTGCCTGCAGGTGGATTTTGACAAGAAACTACAAAGCTCTTTCAAAGGGAACGAGAGGGAGCACATCTGGTTTCCTGAACATTGTGATGGAGCTGAAAAAGTGCTGCAACCACTGCTACCTTATCAAACCTCCTGAGGAAAATGAGAGAGAGAATGGCCTTGAGACCCTGCAGGTGGGCAGTGTCCTTGGTTACCATGTTTTTTCTTAACTTTCCCCTTTGGTCCTGTCTTCCCACCAAGCTTTGGTGAAGCTTTAGCTTCTGCTGCTTCTCCATTAGAAACAGTCCTCACAGCTGAGCCCCTGGATCTCCTGCCCTGCCCTTCCACTGCAGGCAACACCTTGGGTCCATCTAGAGTGGGAGGTGCATGGGGCAGGTCACCTCTCTTGCTTGATTTGTTTTGTGTGTGGCCTCTGCTGGGGAAGCCAGATGATTTGATTTGAGGTGTGTGGGAGAAGCACGGCCCCCAGAGAGCCAGATCTCTGCGTGGTGTACCTGAGGGTGAGGTTGGAAAGCAGCAGCTGGAATGACAGTTACTCCTTCAGTCTCTCGTCAGGAGCAGCGGAAAACTGATTCTCCTGGACAAGCTGCTGACCAGACTGCGGGAGAGAGGCAACAGGGTGCTGATCTTCTCCCAGATGGTGAGGATGCTGGACATCTTGGCAGAGTACCTGACTATCAAACACTACCCTTTTCAGGTGAGAAACAGCACGGAAAACAGCGGGGTTCACTGGAAATTCGAGGAGTTTTGTCATGATCTGAGTCACGGAGCTTCCGAGAAGTTGGTGGCAGGGATTACAGGTTGCAATTCGGAAGGAACTGTGAATTCCCCTCATTTCAGTGGGGCCCTATCTCTGCAAACCACCTCCTGTGGCAGGGCCCTGCTTTGGGCTGTGTCCTGTGATAAACCCTGGGGAGAGGAGAGCAAATGCAGAGCCCCTGGCTGGGAGCCTGTAACGGGAGCTGCAGTGTCACCCACTGTGTGCCTGGTCCCTCCTCCTGTCCTGGCGGGCTAAGCCCCGCTGCACTTGTTTTTAATAGCCGGTTATTTTTAATTACTAACTGCTCCAGACAGGGAAGGGGGCTGTAGGGCTCCCAGAGCTTGGATGCAGCAGTTCCTCAGGGCTCCTTTACCTTCTTTTTTATTGTTACTGTTGATTTTTGCAGCGCTTGGACGGCTCGATCAAAGGGGAGATCCGAAAGCAGGCGCTGGACCACTTCAATGCCGACGGCTCTGAGGTACCGTGGCTGGGGCTCTCCTGCCCCAGCAGGGGCTGGGTGGGCTGCCCGAGCTGGGTGTGTATGGCTGAGCCACAGGTTCTGACTGCCAAGAGGAGATCAGTGCAGTCCATTTCTTTGTACAGGCCCCGGATACTTCTAAAGACACAGGCAGTAGGGTTGGCAACCAGCCGTGTTGCTTGTTTTAAATCTCCCATGTCCAAAGCACAGGGCTGAGAGTCCTGTCTCCAGGAAGCCCCAAAGAGGCTGGGAAGAGACAGAATTTAGCAATTTCTCTCCCCATGGTCTTGTGGAATGAGATGGCTGCTAAATGATTCCTCCAGTCTGAAGCTGGTTTTGGGTGTGAAGCAACAGAGGCGAAAGGGGGATTTTAAGTGTCAGCAGGCAGCAGAGTCTGTTGTTGGAGGTGAAAGTCTGCAGTGTAACAGGAGAGGGCATCTCCAGCCTCTCCTGGCCTTGCTGACTCACAGTGACTGGGGTGAGGCTCTTGTTCTGTGCCACAGCCCAGCTGTGAGAGATCCCTTTCCTCACTCCAGAACCCGAATGCCAGGGGATTCTTGGCTGACATAGGAAATACCATTAGGTGCTTTGTGCTTGTCCTCACAAATAAATGTGAGGAGGAGAGGGCAGTGCAGGTGGGAGGGAAGCAGGAGTGACCACAGAAGCTGCTCTTTCCCCTCTCCTGGGTGTATCTATAGGGGCTCAGACATCCTGGCTCTGGCCTGACACCCTGTGCCCTTGGGCAGTGACTCAGAGAGTCTGTTAGTTGTCTCCAGCAGGCTTCAGGCAACAAAATGCACTTGTTTGCATGCTGCCTTTGGAGGAGCCTGGTGGGCAGCATGGTCTGATCTCCAGAAGTGACTCCGAGGTGCCCTTGCCCCGTGCCATCCCTACTGCTGTCCCACGAGGAGTCATACCAGGCCCTCCCTGGGTCAGCACCTTTCAGCCCTGCCAGCACCACCTCGCCTTGGGCCTCGGCTTAAAGTCCAGTGGTACTTCACCTCTGTGAGCAGGGTGTGTGGGAAGGAAATATGTTATGTCCACGGTTACAGGCTGGATAACAGACAGATGCTCTTTGCTTTCCTCCAGGACTTCTGTTTCTTGCTGTCAACACGAGCTGGAGGGCTGGGGATTAATTTGGCTTCTGCTGATACTGTTGTCATCTTTGACTCGGACTGGAACCCCCAAAATGATCTCCAGGCTCAGGCTCGGGCTCACCGGATTGGACAAAAGAAGCAGGTCAGAAGAGTTACCTGGGTTGTTTTCTCTGTGCTTTCAGCCTGGGCATCTAAACAGGGTCCCACCTCACCAGAGCTTCTGAAAATATGGTCTTTTTGCCCCCAGACCTAACTCCAAAGAGTATTTCCAACTCAAGGGAAGCTCATTTAAATGTCAGGAAACAAAATAAAAATCTGCCCAGATTTGCCAGATCTTTCTGTTGGCTTTGGATCCTGGTGAGGTTCAAAATGAAGAACCCAACCTGTGGCATGACAATTCTCAGCCTAGTGGATTCTGATCTTTCTTGCCCAAAAAATCCTGGAAAGTCAAGAAAACCGTTACCAGGGTTTTATTAGATAGATGAAAAGTTTGATGCTAGCTTGGATTTAGAGTGATTGTTTCAAAAGAGTTTTACTCTGTGCTTAGTCACACTGCAGGATCTGTGTTACCCAGCCTGATTTCAGCTGATCCCCCTGAGATATAAAAAATATGTGGTGGTTTTTACTCTAAAAAGACAAATCTATGCCCAAGAGAACCACGTCAGCAAACTAGTCTCCTGTGAAAGCAGCGAGGGAAGGGCTGCTCTGTCAGCAGAGCAGGGTCAGGAAATAGAATCATAGAATCATAGAATCATAGGGGTTGGAAGGGACCTCGAAAGATCATCCAGTCCAACCCCCCTGCCAGAGCAGGACCACCTAGAGTACATCACACAGGAAGGTGTCCAGGCGGGTTTTGAATGACTCCAGTGCAGGAGACTCCACAACCTCTCTGGGCAGCCTGTTCCAGTGCTCCAGCACCCTCACAGTGAAAAAATTTTTCCTGATATTCACCTTGAACCTCCTATGCTCCAATTTGCACCCATTACCCCTTGTCCTATCATAGTCCATCACTGAAAAAAGCTTAATCCCATCTTCCTGACACTCACCCTTTACATATTTGTAAACATTGATGAGATCACCCCTCAGTCTCCTTTTCTCCAGGCTAAAGAGACCCAGCTCCCTCAGCCTTTCCTCATAAGGGAGATGCTCCACTCCCCTAATCATCTTTGTAGCCCTACGCTGGACTCTCTCCAGCAGCTCCCTGTCCTTCCTGAACTGAGGGGCCCAGAACTGGACACAATATTCCAGATGTGGTCTCACCAATGCAGAATAGAGGGGGAGGAGAACCTCTCTTGAGGTTCTGTTCTTTTCTTGCCCTTCAGGTGAATATTTACCGCCTGGTCACAAAGGGCACGGTGGAGGAGGAGATCATTGAGAGGGCCAAGAAGAAGATGGTGCTGGATCATTTGGTGATCCAGCGTATGGACACCACTGGCCGGACTGTTCTGGACAACAACTCCGGGCGCTCCAAGTAAGTGGCTGTGTCAGGAGGCAGAGGTGCCTGGCACAGTGTGTGACGTGGCCACCTTCACCTGCTGGAGGCAGAGGTGCCTGGCACAGACTGGGACATGACAAAACTCCACTGCTGGGCGCTCAGGATTGGTTTGAGAGGGTACAGAGCAGGAGGCTAACAGATAATGGCAGCTTTCACTGGTTTGGCTCATGCAACTGTTCATTTGGACACATAAGATGAAGATGATCAGGAAAAAAAACCCAACTAGTTTTAATCCCTTACCTGCTTTTCCTCCTGCCTTCCCCCCAGAGATCATCCTGGTCTGAGGGAACCTGGTGGTGGAACAGCTGCAGTTTGGGAGTGACCACGGACTCTCCCCATTTCCACCCAGTAGATATTGTTCTCTTTACAGTAGTTGTCTGTGCTAGAGCAGGAAAGAGATGCATAAAAAAGCCTTTTGTAGTGCTGGGTAGAAAACTTACTTCTTGCTTTAATTAGGAGAAGCTTTGCTATGGTTTTGTGCTGCAGCAATGCTGACTTAACAGCTCAAAACACATTTTCCTTCTCATTTGTTCTTGCAGCTCAAATCCTTTCAACAAAGAGGAGCTGACGGCTATTCTGAAATTTGGAGCTGAAGATCTCTTCAAGGAGCTTGAAGGGGAAGAGTCAGAGCCTCAGGTAGTTTGAAATGGAAATCACATGACTGTGTGTAGTCCTCTGCAAGTCTGCATGGGGGATCGTGTGGGTTTGCTCCCTCTTTGTACTTGTCCTGTGCTGAGAGCAGGGCAGTGAACAGGGCACATGTGAGTCAGAGGAGCTGAAGAGGGAGTGCTGGGGCTGGGGTACAGGAAGGGGGCTGAGGGGAGAGAGCCTTGTTGTTTGTGGTTAAACAGTAACGGTCACCGAGAGAGTCCCTTGGCTCCCAGGGATTCATTACATACTCAGAGCACAGCCTGCTGAAAGCTTCTCTCCCTGCCTCCTCTGAGCACTTCTTCAGCATCCTTTTTTGGTTATTCTCAGAGAAGCAGGAGTCAGCACAGTGAAGCTGGATAGGTCGTGCTCTCCTGCCTGGGCTGACAGTTCAGTATTGAGTGCTTTGACCAGTTCTCTTAACACCCGATGAGCAAAGCTTCCCCCGAGGGAAACACTCCACAGTTGATGTATCTCTCTCCCTGGAAATTTTCCCTGCTGCTTGGCCTTGATGTTCCTTTTCTTCTCTCCTATCACCCTTATTTATCCTCTTTTGTACCACTTGAGATAGTTCATCCCTGCCCTGGGTGAAGACACCCAGCAGATATTTTCCCTTTATTTAGCTCCTGTCAGCATGAGGCACGTTTAGCTGTTGCACCCCACGAGTCTGTTCTCACAGCCTCTTTCCTGCTGTGCTCAGCACCCGTTGCTTTATCAATCTTTCCTCCTGACTGGCAGGAGATGGACATTGATGAGATTTTACGTCTGGCTGAAACACGAGAGAACGAAGTGTCCACCAGTGCTACCGACGAGCTCCTCTCCCAGTTCAAGGTATGGACCCCCCAGCTCAGCTGTGGGGTGCAGGAATCTGGCTCCCCACCTCTTGCTGCAGTGATAAGGTCAGTAACAAAGGGGATGGATCAGACCTGCTGAGAGGTGACCTGTACAGTTCGCTGAGGGGTTGTCTGGATTTGGCAGCTGGGGAGGGATATAGGTATTAAGTTCATTTCATCTAAGTGGTTTTGAAGGCTGTGAATAAAATGCAGAGTTTACCAAATTTGGAAGCAAACCCGATAACTTACAGAGGCTCAGCAGTACTTCTTAAACTGCACGTACTTCCTCAAGAGCTGTTAGCCCAAAGACATGGCAAGGAACCAGGAATGCAGTGACATAGGGATCAATTATAAAGCAGTTATGGAAATGTTGGCAAAAGTCCTATGGCGAAGGAGTTGAGGCTTAGCAGACAGCTCTGGGGTATTCCTGCCAGGGGAGGGAATTTCTAACAGTCTTCCTCTTCTTATAAAAGGTGGCAAACTTTGCAACCATGGAGGAGGAAGAGACAGAGCTGGACGAGCGGTCCCAGAAGGACTGGGACGATATCATTCCAGAGGAGCAGAGGAAAAAGGTGGAGGAGGAAGAAAGGCAGAAGGAACTGGAGGAGATCTACATGCTGCCTCGAATCCGGAGCTCGACTAAAAAGGTACAGCCCATCTCGAGGAGCTGAGAGGCAGGAGGCAAGAGCTGGCACAGGCAGCACTCTGGGGAAGCCTTCTCACCATCTGAGTGCTTCTTCCCCTCCTCCACAGTTGTTTGGCAGTAAAACACAGAGGCAGCACATTGACCCTCTTCTTGGCATCGTCCACTGGGCCCATGGTTTGTAGTGCAGTGTGAGGACCCATATTGGATGGGGTATGTCTGATCTTGTCTTAGCAGGCAAAGAGAAAATAAAGAGAATCTGGTGAGCACAGGGTAAAATATACAACTGTGTAGTGCAGGTTTGACTGCAGTTTATGCCATTTTCTGCCTGTTTCTTTTCCTTGGGCTCCCTGGCTCCCTGGGCTGCTCTTGCAGGCAAAAGAGAGGGTATCTTCCCAAGTTCTTTTGTAGGTGATGGGATCTCCTCCAATCCAACACAAAGCAGTCTGTGCAAGAACACTTCTGGGATATGAGACTTCGAGGGGTTATGAACTGTTCTCTGGGATGAGCTGGGGAAAAACATTGAAGTAAAAGCTAGAGAGAAGGATAATTCATATTGGATGATTCCAGATTAATTTCTGAGGTGTTCTGGTTTTCAAAACAGCCTAAGGGACTGTGACAGAAACCCACGGTGATCAACATGTTTTAATGTGTCTTATACCTTAGTAAATCAAAATGCAATTGTGAAACTCTTGTCTAGAAGGCTCTGAAGGGATGATGACCACCAGAGCCTTAGCTAGCTGGAAACTGCAAGGCTGTGCAGTCCCATTGGGTTGATTACATGGGCTTCTGCATGTAACTTCTTTTTTGGGGTGTTCTACAGTCTGAATGTGAGATAGTGCTGCTGCATGGGAGGGACAGAAAAGGTTGGCAGTTGTTAACTGTACTGCTTTTTTTTTTTTCTGGTACATACAGGCTCAGACAAATGACAGTGAATCAGATGCAGAAACTAAGAGAAGGCTTCAGAGATCATCTGGATCAGAGAGTGAGACTGATGATACCGACGATGAGAAGAGACCGAAGCGCAGGGGCCGTCCTCGGAGCGTTAGAAAAGATACTGTGGAGGGATTTACTGATGCTGAAATCAGGAGGTTAGTGCTGAGCACAAGAGACAGGTCAGAAAACAAGGACAGGATTCCTGTGCAAGTGGAGAAAACCCCAGATTAATCCAGGAGGTGTTCACCTGTAAGCACCCCAGTGGTTTAGGTGGAGCTGGTTCATTGGGCCAACTCCTGCACCTTTGTATAGTTCAGTCTGCTCCCAGCTGAGGGCCTTAACCTTCAGGTCTCTGCAAAATGGACTGAATTGTCTTCAGTCAGGCTGCAGTGAAGCGGGTACCTTCCTAAAATTAATCCTTGTTGTAACTGTCCTTTCTGGGCCAAGTGGACTGAGCTAATTTCATATGACACAGGAGGTCTTAAGTGCCATGAGATTCAGAGCTGGGGGAGCCAGGGACTCTGGCCTTCCTGACATGTTTCTGGCAGTAGTCCTGCTGATTTAAGCCTTGAGTGAAAGGCAAGCTCTGGCAAATTAACCCCAGTAGTAGCAGTGGTCCTGTTGATCCCAGCAGTTGCCTATCCTCTTCTGCACTGTGTCCCTGAAGCCAGCTGGGGGCTGAATTCCAGAGCTGCTTTTTTTTTTTTTCTCTCATCATCTAACTCTTGAGCCTTTCCCAAAGATCTTTGTCTTATGGCTCTGTCCAGATGTTCAGCCAAAGATGGAAAAGAAAGGGCTTTGAGTTTTCCTTGACACTCTCCTCATCTCTGAGCTGATGTATTTTTAGGAGATAGACTTTTTGGATTGAGGTGGCTGCCCCATATCCATCCCTGAAAACAGAGATAAGGGAAGAGATGTTGTGATCTGAACTATAGCAGCCCTTTAGATTATTGTGATGTAGCAGAAAGAGGCTGGAAGAGCAAAAAAATAAAAAAAGAAGGGAAAATATGAACTAATTTAAAAAATAATCTGTAGTTGAAGCCATTGGGTCTGCTCCCAGCACAAGGCACCGACCAGCTGCAGCAGTGGTGTCTGACTCTTGCTCTAAAGTTCTGTGTTAGCCCTGGCAGTGATTTTCACAACAAAAATAAGACATAAAAATAAACAGCAATCCTTGTCTGCAAACCTCTGTGCTGGATTGCACCACATTTGGCTCTTCTCTGATGGGTTGTGACACTTAGAGCCTGAGTGTTAAAAATACTAATCACATTGATTTAATGCCTCTTTTCTCCTTGCAAAAATGAAGTTCATCATTACCAACATGGTGTGAGCCAATGATTTCATTCCTTTTCTTTTACACTACAGTTATGGCTCTCTTTTCTTTTCCTTATCTGTCAAATCACCACTATTCATAATAGTGTTGTGTTTTTCTCCAGCCGAGGTCACACAGCTCCTTGTGGAGGTTGATGGACTGGGCTTCCCAATCTTCAGTGATACTTAGTTAATCAGTGTGGAATGCAAGGGGGGGGGATATTGTGGCAGGCTGTAATTAATATAATCAAGTCTATTTGTGATATGGGACCCACTTTTTAACGGTGGTTGGTTTAGATTTGGTTTTTTTTTTGTTTTTTTTTTTCTTAGATTTATCAAGGCATACAAGAAGTTTGGACTGCCTCTTGAACGGTGAGTCCCAAGCTGGCCCTGCTCCAGAGGGTTATCAGGGGGGAAATGTTGTATTTCTAAGCACAGCCATGCACACATTGCCATGGGTGTTGGGTAGAACCTCCACAGACAGCACAAAGCCTTGCTGGCATGGGATCAGTAGCCCAGGCACTGCCATGCAGCCCCTCCTGTCTCAGCTGATGGACACTGATGAATTCTGTGATTCTGTGAATGCTGGCTGAAAAGCAGCTAGAGCAGCAGTGGCACTGGGCTGTAAACAGCATCACCCTGCTGCCAGATTCCAGCCCTTGGGGCATCACCACTCTGCCTAGAAAGGAGAGGGAGCAGCTGTCTGAACAGCAAACCTTATCCAAAATGCTTGCCAAACTTCTCCATGTATATTAGTTTCAAGACTGGGTTTGGAGAATCTTTCTCCTGCTGCCGTATCCCTCTTGGAGGGAAGCAGGGAGAGGCTCACACCATCCTTCAGCATGGGTCTGCAGAGCCCTGCAGAAGTGCTGTGACCCAGCATGAGGGAGGAAGGGAGGTGAGCACGTGTGCTGGGAGCTTGGCCCTTGCTGAGGTCTCAGAGCTGAGGCAGGATCCCTGCATGTGTTGTGTGAAAATGACTGTGTGTTTTCAGCTGGTTGTGCTCTTCTGCTGTGAAACACAAGGTTTGCACAGGGGCCTTGATGTTACTGACTTCAGCCAGGCAAAAGGGACAGCAGATGGCAGTTTTTGATCATCAAATGGAGTTAATTTGGACTGGGAAAGACATGAAGGAACGTTAGACAGTCACAGAAGGTGCTTGTTGTGCCCCAGATGGTTCTCACCTTTGCTTTAATACTAAAAATCCAAAGGATAGGATCAATTTTACTATACCTGTACTGTACTACAGCTGTTAAGACCTTAAAACCCCCTAAAACTGTTTCCTGCACAAATTTGACTCATGCAGGTTTTATATATTCATACGTATACAGCACTGAGTGCTGAAAACTATGAAACAATTGCTTAGGAAGGAGAAACAGGGTCTCAAGCACAAACCCCTTTGCCCCTTTCCCAGGCTGGAGTGCATTGCCCGGGATGCTGAGCTGGTGGATAAGTCTGTGGCTGATCTGAAGCGGTTGGGGGAGCTCATCCACAACAGCTGTGTGTCAGCAATGCAGGAGTATGAGGAGCAGCTGAAGGAAAACCCAGGTGAAGGTAAGCAAGAGGGTTGTGTGCTGCTGTTATGATGGTTTTGGGGGTGTTCCGTGGAGCTGGTGTGAAAAGAGTTGCCTTGCTGGATGAGGAGGAGTGATTTAAAAGCAAATAACAAGCACAACACTTACACCATCCCATCTCTGCCAGGCAGCTCTCACCAACAGAGAGAAGTTCCCCAGTCTTCTGCTCAGACTGAAAAGAGCCACTTGGGTCTGTTGACTTTTGCTGGATGTGAGCTTTCCTGGGGAGAGGCTGAAGTAATCAGCTTATTGCATGCTGGGCCACAAGGCAACGCAGATCATATTTTAACTGCCTCTGGTACTGAGAATCAAACTGGTGCTGTGTACTCCATGGTAAAGCTGGATCCACAGTTAGCACTTCCTAGAGCTGGGGTCATCAACCACTGATGGTTGTGTGACTGTTTTTTGCTGTTGGGTTGGAGATACAGGGGTTTGGGCTGGATTTCCTGCAGGACAAAAGTACTGAACTAATAGCTCCAGTGTACTTAGATGTATTTTTAAGAAAATGATACTGGGAGGTGCTTGGATGGCAGTTCTAAGTGAGTTACTGAAAGAAGACTGGTGGTTTGGGCCTCCCTCTGAGCAGACAGCCTTACCTTTAAATAAGAGGCTGTGGGCAAGGTCTTGATCTCTGTGTGTCTAGACAGTTTTACAGAGGCACTTCTTTCTGTAAGAGTTCTCTTAGTTGCTGTGTTGTATTGTTGAGTAGGGAAAGGACCTGGAAAAAGAAGAGGACCTACTATCAAGATTTCTGGTGTCCAAGTCAACGTGAAATCCATCATCCAGCACGAAGAGGAGTTTGAAATGCTGCATAAATCCATTCCTGCGGACCCAGAGGAAAGGAAGAAGTGAGTTTGGCTGAGGAGGCAATGCAGAAAGAGGCTCAGGGAATCTTTGGATGTTTTAGTGGGAAGAAAATAGCCTAGATGTGTGGATTTGCTTTATCCTCCCCAGCATTAAAAGTAGCTCCTGTTTGGAATGCCTTCAGGTACCGCCTGACGTGCCGTGTCAAAGCTGCCCACTTTGATGTAGACTGGGGAGTGGAGGAGGATTCTCGCTTGTTAGTGGGAATTTACGAGCATGGTTATGGAAACTGGGAGCTAATTAAAACAGATCCAGAACTGAAGTTATCTGATAAGGTAGGTCGCTTTGCTTGGTAGGTCACTTTGCTTGTTGCTTGCATTGGGTCTGTCGCAGTGTTCGTAGAGAACGTGTTCGATTTACTCTAGAAACAGAGGTTGATGTTTGCAACAGCTCTGAAAAGAATAATAAATACTAATGAGGAAAACGGTGACCTCCACGGAATGTTGCATGCTTGATGGAAAGCAGAGTTGTGTTATTTGATTGGCAGTGAGTTTTCTCTGAACACTACCATATGAACCACGCTGAAATGATGCAGGAGGAGAATGGCCATGCTGGCATTGGGTGGTTACATGCACAGTAGAGAGGATGTGTTCCATAATCTGCCTTGATAGTTCCTTGAGCATCTCACAAGAAGCTGAGCCTGAGTTCCTGTGTGGAAATAATTTTTCACAGGTTTGACACTGCTGCTGTCAAGGCTGGTCTGTGTTAGCTTTGAGGGTATGGTTACATGAGTGGCTGTGGCAGCAGAGCCAGCTGGAAAGCCTCCATCTCGTTCCTCTGATCCTCAGTCATTCCCAGAAGAGCTGTTTATGGGGGCCACGCTGGAAGGGTCCAGGTTAAAAATAAGCCACCATCCGTTGTGTCAGCACAATGGAAGGAGGGTGAGCTGCAACACAGGGCTGAGGAACATGGACACTCTCTACACCAGCTTTGCTGCCAACATGCTACGTTCCCATGGCATCCCCATGTCTTTAGCAAGGATCAGGCTGTGGCTGAGAGCCCTCCTACATGAAGTTCAGAAAGGCATTAGACAATGGAAACAATTGCATGAGACTTGCCACCCAATTTCCAATGAAGTATGAAGATAACCTAGTTGGCAAGCTGGGATAACTCCTCCACAAAGTGGCACCTTGCAGCCTTGCTTTCCACTAGAAGTTCTACACGTGTATCATTGCTGTAGCAATGTTTGACATTACCAGAGGGGGCCAGCTTGCTGTGGCAAGGCTGTCACAAACAAATCTGATGTGTCAAGGAGAGTGGACTCAGCTTTGCAACTCAAATAGAGTTTGCAAAGTATTTTTTTCTTCTCTTTGCACACTTAGAAGAAAAAATCATAGAGAATTTAGGGAGCTGCCTTGGTGTCCTTTCACTTCTGCAAGGGCCAAGGGGAAGAATCTTTGTGAGGAGCTTTGCTTTTGGTCTGGGAGCTGGGAGAAATGCCTGAACCTTCTTGTTACCCCTAGGAAGTGCAGCATCTCCAACCCTTTGCTGGGCCTGGGAGGACTGCTGCTAGTATATATCTCTTCTGTCAAGATTTGATAGGTGCATGTGGGTGTATTTTTTTTTTTTCTTTTTCTTTATTAAAGATCCTACCTGTTGAGACAGATAAGAAACCTCAGGGAAAACAGCTCCAGACCCGAGTTGATTATCTACTGAAACTGCTGAAGAAAGATCTGGACAAGAAAGAAAACATGAAAGATGGGGAAGAGGTGAGATGTGGCTGCTTGATTCTGGGGCTTTCAGGATGAGTGCTTGGCTGGTGGCAGGAGACAACCTGTGTTCCTAGGTCACTGAGTATCATCTATGTGAAAGAATGGGGACATGTCTGTTATCTGATTGCATTACGAATGATAATTAGTAAGGGGCAGGTAATTATTACAGTTACTGAAGGACTCAGGCTCACCAGGCTTCCTGCCACCCTGCAGGACCTGCAGCTGATTGCGGGTTGCTCAGGAGAGAGGGTATGTCCCCAGGAAGTACCTGTAGCTATTTGCTTGCCCTGACTTCTTGTGTTTTCACCAGGGCAAGCTAAAGAAGAGGAAACCACGAGTGAAGAAAGAGAACAAGGCTCCCAAAGTCAAAGATGAGCATGGGAATGAGCTCTCCTCTCCTCGGCACTCAGACAACCAGTCAGAAGAAGGTGAAGTCAAGGTGGGTCAAGTTGGTGGATGGTGGCTTCTCCAGGTTTTCTTGAGCTATGTTGTTGCTGCAGAAAGTCACCTTGAGAAGCACCCCCAGCAAACACCCCGTGGAGTTGGGGGATGCCACAGAGCATGACTACAACTGTTGGGATGAAAGAAGGACCTTTCCCACCCACCCTTTTAGGTTAGAGCCTTAAGTGTTTGGAGGGATCTTTGAATGGCCACGCACATCCACATCCCTCCTGACTTGGAGGAAAGGTTGTCTCAGGACAAAGTCTGTTGCCCTTATAAAGGAGAGAAAGAAGAATTGTTTCCCTTTCTTTTTCAGTACGTCAGCTAGTGGTGAAGCTGGAGTTTACCAAGGTCATGCTGTTGCTTAGAAAACCTTCTGTCTTTGGTTTGGCTTGTTGTCTAAGGCTTTTTGTTCATGTGCTGATCAGTATCTACCTTAGGGGCTGAGCTGGCGTAGGAGAGCTCTGCTTATCTGCAGTTTGCCAGCTACTTAGACTGGGGCTTGTCTGGTTTTTATACTCTTTTGTCAAGGGTTGGGTGGATTGCAGCTGGTTGAGCAGGGCTGGCTGTCTGGTTAAAGAGGTGTGAGGGCAACTTGGGATGGACCACAGGAATTGTCCCTGTTTCGAGATTGTAAGTTTTATGGAAGAAAGAGTACGTGAGGTGAGGGGCTCCAACTTTGTGCTGTGACTGATTTTCTAGGAGGATGGCTTGGAAAAGAGCCCGGTGAAAAAGAAACAGAAGAAGAAAGAGAACAAAGAGAACAAGGAAAAACAGACAAGCACTAAGAAAGAAAAGGAAAGTGATAAAGAGAAAAAGAAGACGAAAGAGAAGAAAGAGAAGGTATGTGGTACTCTCAGGAGCAGTTTGAGAGACAGGAAAGTCTCTAGAAGGGCAAACTGTGAGCCTTATGGTTCATTAAAGGCCCTGTGTAAAGAGACATCAATGAAGCACTGTGGGGTGAGGTGTTATCCTTCTCCAGCTCTCCTGAGTTCTTATTGTGAAGAATCACAATAAAAAGCAGAAAAGGCAATCATGGCCTAAATGGAGTGTGGGCAGAAAGGAAGAGATTTTGTTGGGGTGCCTTTAAAGCACAGCTGTCCCTGTGACAGGGATATGATCAAATAGCTGATGTTAAGGAAGAAGGAAGAGCCTGGAGCACTCAGGTCAAAGTTCTGTTCATCTGTGATCTATCACAGGATTGGCAGCTCCTTGTCTGTGTTCCCCTTTAATTTAAACTCATCCCAAATAACCCAACTGTCCACAGCATCAAGTTGTCCTTGTCACTGTTCAGGACTCACCAGAATGAGTGTTTCAACATCAGTGGTATGTTGTGGACTAAAATGTCCCTTGACTTTTGGGTACAACTGCCCTGAGGCTGGGTTCAAATTGGAAGAGGGTAAAAACTTCTGTAATAATGACCTGCAGTACCTGTCCAAGGAACAGGTATGTACTGCATGCCCAGGGTGTTTTGACACCGAAGAGGTCACAAGTGCAAAGCAAGTTTTGTTGCATATGTAGGGGAAAGTTTGCTTTCCAGTGAGCCTTGCTAAGACTTAGACTCCAAAGGGCAGGAGACTACTCTGAGCTCTGTCCTTTGCAAGGGACATATTCATTAGCTGAACCTCTCTTCCAAGTCTTCCATGTTGGTTTTCTCTCTGTGAGCATGAGTAGTATGAATATCATATTCAGGTCCAAAATATTGGCTCTGGCCTCTCTCTCCTCCCTCAGGGATGATGTAAAGCTAAATGGAGGCATTGCAGCTGAACAGTTTGAGGTCTTGGGAGGAAAGTTGTAGGAGCAGTGCCCGAGGTTTAACAACTGCCAGGAACAATAGTGTGGAGGTTGGATCGCTTGGGATCCTGCAGTCTGGCTCATCATGTGATGTGTGTAATTTGTTCTTGTAAAGCCTAAAGGTGGTGAAGCCAAATCTGGAAGTAAAGGGAAGAGATCGCAGGGTCCCGTCCACATTACTGCAGGGAGTGAGCCCATCCCTATTGGAGAAGATGAGGATGATGATCTGGACCAAGAGACATTCAGCATAGTGAGTATTTTCCTCAGGAAATGGGAGGGCAGTGATGGGGAGCCTGGCAAGGCAGCCAGGGTTTGCTTCCCTGTTATCTAAGGACCTGCTTTAGGTGCCAGGATGCGAGCCCCCTCCAACAGGGGTGTCCTCTGGTCGACCTGGGAGCGTGGCAGAACAGCTCTGTATGAGAGTTGTCCACCAGCCCCCTCTGTGCCTACCAGCTGGCTGCTGTAAACAGCACTTCAGCTGGAAGGAGCTTCAAAGATCTTCTAGTTCCTGATTCTCACCGAGCAATTGCACTATTAAAAGTGTTCAGATAACTCCCTTCAAAGTTCAGCTTTGAATGTTCATCCCCTCCCTCTGTCAGGAGTGCCAGCCAGGGTAGAAGAGAGCATCATGTCAACAGAGGATGCAGAAGGGCTTTCTTCTTCAGATGCTGAGTTCCCACCACTCATCTGACAGCACTGGGCTACAGAAGACCCTGCAGCCTTATGCAGCAGTCTCTCTCCTGTAGAAGCCATTGGGTTTCTTGCAGATGGGGACATGCAGGGGAGATTTGAGGGGGACCATGTGTGGCTGTAGGAGGCACAGAGCTGCCTGGGCTGTAAGCACTTCCCTAGTTGTGTAAGTGCTCTTGCAGCAAACACGCCTGCCAGGCTCGTTGTAAAAATAGCCCTTGAGCAAAAGTTGTCATGGCAGCCTCTCCTTGGCCTGACTTGCACAGGGAAATGCAGAAATAACACTTTTTAAAAACAGTTCTCTAAATGCAAATCTGTGTATTTGCTGTTGACTGTTATTTTTGTCTGTTTTTTTTCCTTAACTTTCCCTCTGTGATGCGTGAAAAGTCCAACCAGGCAGCAGGAACCTCCCTGATTTACTGTCTGTGTGCAGTGTAGATGTGTGCAGCTGGAAAAGATGCTGCTTGCATCTCATGTACTTCCAGTTTTGGTAAAATCAATAGAAGGAAGCGACCACAGATGGGGATGGAGAGGGAGGGGGGCTGGGGCTCTTGGTTCAGTGTGTCGATGCTGGGTTACACTTCCCTGCCTGCTGTGGGGCCGGCCTGAGAGCAGATTGGGTGTGATTATGGTCTGCAGAGCAAATTGTTCCTCTCTAGAAGGGGGGGGGACAGTGGAGGTGGGGAGACTCTTGTCTCCTCCTGATAATTTTCTGCAGCATATTTAACAAATTTCTATTTTCATAGCTGATTTCTTCTTGCCTAATAGTTACCTAAAAGCTACTATCTCGTGCTGATGAACTTCTTCCAGCTCTGATTAACAAGGGAACAGTGTAGAGTCCTCTGCCAGATGAATCACTTTCTGCTCTCTTTTGCTTTTTCAAGTGCAAGGAAAGGATGAGACCAGTCAAAAAAGCACTGAAGCAACTTGATAAGCCTGATAAGGGATTGACGGTTCAAGAACAGCTGGAGCACACACGCAACTGCCTCCTGAAAATTGGGGACCGCATCTCTGAGTGCCTTAAAGCCTACACTGACCAGGATCACATCAAGCTGTGGAGAAGGTGCAAGATGGTTTTGTTTTCTTTGGCTGGTCTGTGATATTTTAGAAAGGTAGTCAGAGGCTGCTGGGTGTGACGTGGATAAGTGTGCCATTTGCCTCCTATTTTACCTGTGAAATCCTCCCTCCTTTAGCTCACTCAGTCCACGAGCAGCCTCAGGTGAGGGTTTGTCTGCATCTTGTGCTGGTTTCATTGAAATGGATTTCAGAGCTAGTTTAGATAAACCAGTGCAAGCCTCTTTATTTTACTGTTTTCCAGAGAGGGTAGAACTGATCTGGGATTTGTCTGAAAGCAGTTGTCGGTTAAACTGCTGATGTAGCAATTAACAGAAAATGTTCATGTCCTTTTAGGAACCTCTGGATATTTGTGTCAAAATTCACAGAATTTGATGCCAGAAAATTGCATAAACTCTACAAGATGGCTCATAAGAAAAGATCACAGGAAGAAGAGGTGAGATCTGAAGTGCCTTTGGCACGTTGAAAGTTGTCACACTTGAAGCATCAATGCTTCTGCCTCTTACCGTGGGCTTCCTTTGTTGTTGGTGGCAGTCTGTGATTTTTCTTGACATCTAAACAGTCTGGTTACATTTGACTCTTCTTCTGTGTGTCACTTCTCCCTTCACCTAACAACACTGGTCACTTTGTCCTGGCTGTTCTCACCAAGAAAAAGCCTTGCTTGGTGTGGTGTGTTGGTTGGGTTGACCTGTAGGGTGTAAAGCCTGGGAACATTGCCCTGTAGAGATAGGATACAGAAGCAGATCTGCGTGGGGCAAAATTGCCTGTCCTCCACTGCATTTGTACCATTGCCATTCATACCAGGCTTGGGCACGTTTGGTTCACCCACTTCTCAAATAGGTGGGTGGCCCACAGCGTGAGGAGTCTGCAGAAAAACCCTGACCCTGACAGACAAGGCCGTTGCTCACATAGTCCCAGTCTTTTGGTAGAAGGGCAGTTGAGCTGCAACGCTCTCTCCCACCTTGCAGGAGCAGAAGAAGAAGGAGGACATGTCCAGCATGAAGAAGCCATTCCGCCCCGAGCCTTCAGGCTCCAGCCGCGATTCCGTCATGTCCCAGTCTCACGTGCCTCACAATCCCCATTCCCAGAAGATCCACATGCCCCCTTCCCACACCCAGCAGCAGATGCACGGGCACCCGCGTGACAACTATGGCCATCCAAACAAGAGACATTTCAGCAACACAGGTGAGCCAGGAGAAACCATCCCTTCTAACCTAACGGCTCTTTGCCTTTGGACACAAATCCTTCTGGCACTTGTGCCTGGCCAGGTTCCAAAGCGATGGGATGGGACGTATATTCCCACTGTACTTACTGAAAACCTGATGATCCAGTGATGAGAAGAGTGTAAGACAAGGACATCCTAAGATTTTCTAGTGTGATGATAAAGAAATTCAAGGGATGAAACTGGGCCCGCGTAGTTAGGGAGGAGAAAGCTCAAGGGGCGCAGCAATAGAAACCCTTTCTTTGAGAACTGAGCGAAGTCGTGGCCTTAAGCTGATGCCTGAGAGACATGTGGTTGTGCTTTCCTCATTGCAGACCGAGGAGAATGGCAAAGGGATCGAAAGTTCAACTACGGCGGCAACAGCAACCAGCTGTGGGGCGGGGAGCGGCACCACCAGTACGAGCAGCACTGGTACAAGGACCACCACTACGGGGACCGGCGGTCCCGGGGGGAGCCCCACCGCAGCTCGGGCAACTACAGACCAAACAACCTCTCCCGCAAGAGGCCGTACGAGCAGTACAACAGCGACCGAGACCACAGGGGCCACCGGGACTACTACGACAGGTAAGGAGCGCCCTCTCCCCGGGGGCCGGGAGGGCTCCGCGGC